CCACCATGACAATCGGCGATGAGTAACGCAAAATAGCGGTTTGAAAAACGAATATTCGCTATCCTCAGCATAAACTAGTAATTGAATGACCCGGATACACTCCTAGCTGCCGAGACGATACATACGCGTCTTGCCAAGATCTAACGTACTTCAGCATGCTCTAGAAAATTGATGAGCCACACTAGTCAGTCACAGAGGACTCTAAGGTGGCACAAAAGCACAAACACGCTATCAATGATGCTATGCCAGAATCTCACAGTTTCTAACATCTATTACAATCATCACGGATATTCCTTTTAAGCGATTTAAGTGCCAGCCCGTGAAAAGTTTATTATTAGAATCTGAGCTCGGCTAGCCTATTACTCTTCATTCCAATTATCAAAGTTCCGTATGAGATCTGTCTGATGTTAACATGAAACAGATATGCCTCTGGAATTAGACTCACCATAATAGAACCTCATACCCTCCAAATGAGCTATCATGTTCATTCGTTCATCAATTGCATGGGCGTTTAGTCGCGTACCGTCCCTTGAAGGAGTGTACCTGTAGATATTGCGAGTCAAGTTCCAGTAGTGCATCGTGTCTGTATTGCCAGTCATGATATTCCCGACTGGCACGACAGTCTTTCCACTCCCGGCATGCGTGCTTTCAAATACATATCTTAATGTACCACTGAATATCTCCCATACAGAATTATCTGTCGGTGATATTGGGGCAGCAGGAAGCGTTTGCAACGCATGTAGCTTGAGTGTTCCTGCCGACGAGCTATTATCAGAGCTCGCATCCTCAGGACCATGAAATAGAAGGTCGTATTTTTTGACAATCGGGGCGAGGCTTTGCTGGATATGTATGTTCACATCCTCAATTGATTCGTGAAGCGCCACACGGTGATTGACACTAACCCTGACTGTCTCGGGGAGGGCGTTGACCTTGATTCCCCCAGAAATTACGTCGACAGCCTGACTCGTTTGCATCAACCATTTCTCCTCTTCAAGATCATGTACAAGCTTGCGGGCAACCTCTTCCTCGTCATCGTGGAGGAGGGAGTCACGAAGCCAAGGTTGAACTTCGTTCGGAGAATACTTGGCCCTGCATTCTAGGACTCTTCGAAATGGGCTCCCCTGAGGCAGTCGAGGATCATAGGTCCGACTTTCAATAGAGATAACAGCATCGGATATTATCCCAATAGCTGTATGGGGAGGCGGCCGCGAGCTATGTCCACCTTGAACGTCAAGCGTGAGTTGAACATCGTGATATCCCTTCTCACCCACCCCAGGATATGCATATAGAACGTTGCCGACGGTCTTCAATCCCATTCCACCCTCGTCTAGAACGAGCAGGAATGAGTCTTGGCCCCATTTTTGTATAAGAGCCTCGTTCAATTTCGTCGCGCCTAGCAACCCCCCTGTTTCTTCGTCGAAGCCAAAAGCGAGCACGATGGTGCGACGGGGAGTAAATGATTGAGAGAGCAAATCTTCAATAACAGACAAAACTCCGATGAGAACATTCTTGCAATCAGCTGATCCTCGACCCCAGAGAAAAGATCCATCATAATGTCCTTCATAAGGCGGATGGGTCCATGCAGCATTCGCATCTGCTGGAACTACATCTTGGTGGGCCATGAAAAGAATGGGCTTTAGTGAGCTTTCGCTTCCTTGCAACTCGTATAAAAGACCATATCGATTAACCTTCTGTAGCTCGAGTTGAGTGTGTCTGCAGACTGTGAGTCGGGATTCAACTCAAATACAAAGTTGGAAATGATCCTTACACCAGGGGGAACAGCTTCTTCAAGACATCATGAAAATATTCGAATGTCTCCCAACGAGGATCATCATCAACGTCTCCATTATCATCGTGGCTTTCAGTTGGTACACGAACGGCAGCAGAAAGACGCTCCACTTGCAGTGCGAGTTGTTCATCACGCATCAGGTGGTGACTCGGCTCAAGGCTGTCATTCTGGGACACAGCAATGCTAGGTAGCGGGCACCAACTGCTATCGTTCTTGTTGTGGCTAGCTATTGTGAAACGTGATAGGCAGTGGCTGATCCGTGAATGATAAGCCGGCAGATAATGTAATGAGATAATGAAGATAAAGGCTAGTAAGCCAAGCAAGCCCAAACGCTGTGGCCGGGTTCTAGACCTAGATGGTCCTTCCAAATTAGACGCCTGAACTGAAAGGTCTTTCGCCATTATTGATTTGCCCGGCAACCTTGAGTGGTAAGCAATAGGTAGGTAGTGGTCATTCCGGCCGTTTTATCGCAGAAGAGACGATGGCGAGGAGCCTACCCGAAGAGGAATGAATCGGTCGGCAATAAGACGGTCATGCGGGTAGAGCCTAACAACCACTCGTCTCGTGCCCGAGGCCAACACAACTGCGAACTTCATAGATCGGGACACACAAGGAATACTAATTCGCAGACCCTTATCTCAATATGTGGAAACAGGACCCTTTTGTATTCTTGTCACTAAATCATATGATGAACAAGCCCGTTGACTGCCTCATAGCATCTAGGTAGTCAACTCGAACCCCACCTTGGCTTTGCTTTTGAATTACATGCTCTAACAGAAGACGAGTCTTACTGAAGTTACCACCCCAACGCTCAGCCTCGGTCAAGGTTTTAGTGACCCAGTCTTGATATACCAGATCAGTGGTCTCGCTTCCAGCGAGAAAAAGAATACGAGGCCAGATATTCTGGGGGGATGGAGGACGGAGTCGATACACCCAGGATGCGATTCGTAGAATACGCGTTGCTGCGGCCTCGGCTGACATGAGCTTACCGGGCATGTTTGCCTCGACTGAGGCGGGAAGCATCCGATGGAAACTTATGATCAAACTGTAGCAGGCTGAGAGGAGCAATAGGTCGTTGAACATCCTCGTCGTCACCTTTCCACTAAGTCCTCGCGTGGGTCTGAAGATAGAAGTAAGGACTGGGGCAAATGCTGGAGCGCGCTCGAGGCGTTGTTGAAGAGAAAGCAAATCAGACTGGACTGTCAGCAAGACCGCAATCGGTGCTGAAACCGCGCGATTGTTGAGCTGGGCAATCCTATTGTCCAACGAGTCTATGTCAAACGTCAAGCGTAGACAAGACTTCAGATCCGATGGGTCCGCTCCGGGCTGTATGTCTGGAAACGCCGCGCCTATGAAATCATAATCAGAGCAGAACAGTTCGAGGTTCTGCAACAACCGGCCTGCTCCGCCGATCCACGCGGCACGAGCATCGTAAGTACCCAACCAAATCAGAATGCGCGATCCAATCGGTCCAAGTGGTGCTGCTGCCCCACCAGCTTTTTGGTGGCGTCGATGGGCATCAACTAGGTCGGCAGTAAACTCCAGGTGCCGAAAGAAGGAGTCAATGCCTCGCGCTGCCAGCAGCTCAAACTGAAGTGCAAACCAAATCGTTACCAAAGAGAGCTCAAAGTGGTGAGCGACTTCTTGATCCTGGTGCATCAGAGAGATGGCGTGGCTATAACGTTGCTCGGCTTTCCGGACGAGATCTGGCTCGCCCCTGGTTTGACCAAGATGCAGTGCCGTCCACGCCATTATGGCATTATACAAAGGGGCATAAAACAATGCCATATTGCTGAAAATCTGAGTGTATATGTTCTCATCTCCAGAGCTTCGTATCTTTGTATATTGTGTCATCACATTCAGATAATGTTGAATGAGGCCGTTATCCTCCAGGCCGATTACGACCGTGCTCTCCTGTGGAATGGGGCTCACAATATCATCCTGCCGGTTAATCAACTCGGGGGCCGGCGCTTCGATTGGCGCTTGCGGAAACGCCAACCACTCATCACCAAGCAAGTCAAAGTTCATATTGAGATCGAAGAACACTGGAACATGCCCAGAGTCCATCTGAGCCGCAGGGGACTCCATCGGGGCAAGGGGCCCCACTGCTCCTTGGGTTTGATCGGGTCCATCATGAATGCCATGGATGGTCGGAGATGAAGAAAGAGGCAAGATGGGGGCTTGCTGACTTGCAGTCGCGTCGTTTAATGGGCGCTCGAATTCCTGGTTGTTCGCATACTCTGAGTTACCGCGTCTTGCTTCAGGCCTGCTTGGCGGTTGACGGTCCGCTGGAGAAGTTGGATGAAACTTTTCTGCCTCTTTACTCCGCGACCGCAGTTTTGAGTAGGGCGAATTGACAAATCGTACACGATACCGCGACGTCTCTACAGGGCTTGCTGCATTACCTGGCTCGTACGAGCAAGTGAGCTCAAGCCGCGTGCACGCGCTGCAAATGGGCTTTTTCTCATCGCAACGCACTTTTCGGCGGCGACATGATTGGCAACCTGCAGCTTATCTTAGCATATGCGACGACACATGGTATTGCGGGGACAGGGAACCCGAACCGGTCTTGGACCTAGCCACGCGACTCTTCACCATGTTCACGACCGCGTCCGGTGCGTCTGAGGGTGGGGCATAAGAGCCGACGTGCTTCGATCCGATAGCATTCGAAATTTGGGAGAAGAAACGCCTGAGTTATTTCCTCTTTCGACGATGCAGTGGAGGAGAAGTAATGGAAAGAGTATGTGTGGTAGGGGGTGTAGTTGACGAGTCAGCGAAATGGGAGCGAGCCGATGGCTCTTCCGCATTTAGTATGGCGTTCCTGAAAAGTACATCTCGGCTCGGCTCCTACGAAATTTCTAAACCCCTGCCACGGCGCGGAAGTGCCCACAAGAAGATAAGCAAATGCAACATCTTGAAGAAGTCGGACGAGAGAGCAACAGTCACGGAGACCCTCCGCGACGGCCGCGCTGATAAGGATGCTAAGCTTGCCCTTATAGAGCAGATCGCCCTCGGGCACCTTGATGAGTCTGCAATGCGACCTTGACCACACGTCTCTCAGCAACTACGGCGTTGGGGTCCAAGTCACGCAATCCGACCAGGCTCTTCCTGCCAGGGTTATTCCACTGTTTTCTACTTCATCCACCTGGCCCACTGGGTGTTGCTTACCGTTCACTACACAGCTATACCGTGATAAGTCATGGCAGACAAGATGGAGAAGACCACGGAGAGACCTGCCATCGAGTCTGTTGCCGAAGGCGTGATGGATGATGTCGACAAAGCCTATCAATTCGCCAAAGAGCACCATGTCGAGCCCTTGACTGAGGCTGAGAACAAACGCATCTTGCGCAAGATTGATTTCCATCTGCTGCCCCTAGTAAGACACTTTTTTGCACGATCTAAGTTCGCTGTACCATGCTAATCAATGCTCGTCTGAAGATGGTAATTACTTATACTCTGAACTTTATGGACAAGAATGCGCTGTCTTATTCGGCCAACTTCGGTCTCATTGACGACAATGTACGTGTTTTCATTTGCTGGGCTGTCGCGTACAGCATTCCTAACTCGGCTCTCAGCACCTACACGGTAACCAGTACAGTTGGTCCTCTGGCTCCATATTCTACTTGGGTAAGATAACCGGTTTCTTGCAATTCGCTTGATTTGACACTGACGATGACAGCGTACATGGTTTCCCAGCCCTTCGTCGCCCGGCTGATTGTTCGCTTTCCTGTTGGCCGCTTCGTGGCTTGCGCCACTGTCTTGTGGGGAGCCGTTTTGATGACTATGCCTGCATCTCGCTCCTTTGCCAGTCTAATGACCATTCGTGCCATTCTCGGCTGTCTTGAGTCTTGCATTAACCCTGCATTCATTGTCATTTCTTCGCAGTGGTGGACCCGTGAGGAACAACCCCTCCGTATCACCTTTTGGTACTTGGGTAATTCCATCGGTCAAGTTTGTGGTGGCCTTCTCGGCTACGGCATCGCTCACATCAACTCTCCCACTGTGCCAAACTGGGCTTGGTTTTTCATCATCTTTGGAGCGATTACCGTTGTCTACGGGAGCTTCTTATTCTTCTACCTTCCGGACTCGCCCATGAATGCTCGTTGGTTGAGCGATCATGATCGTGCCCTTGCCATTGAGCGTGTGCGTAGCAATCGCACTGGCGTAGAGAATCATGTTTGGAAGTGGTCGCAGTTCAAAGAATGTGTCACGGATATTCAGTGCTGGATTCTGGTTGCTACATTCTTCCTCGACGATATCCCGGCTGGTGGTGTAGCCTCATTCGGCTCCATCGTGGTAAAGGGATTTGGGTTCAGCACTCTATACTCCACGCTGCTGTTGGTCCCTCTCGGTGTGATCCAAGCCATTTGCATTCTCTTCGGAGGTTTCATGACCAGGAAGTTCAAGAACATAAGGACATGGCTTATTGCCGGTACGTACTACCCGACTCATGCTGAGAAGTTCGTTTACTAAAGCAAAACAGCTTGCCAAATCCCCGCCCTTATTGGCGCCATCCTTCTCTACACTTTACCTCGCTCAAACCAGCGTGGGCTTCTAGGCTCTTACTACATTGTACAAACTCATGGTATTGTCGGCACGCTCACTATGTCTCTTGTATCCAGTAACTTCGCCGGTTATACCAAGAAGGCCACTGCTGGAGCTATGATGTATGTTGCCTTCTGCGTGGGTCAAGTTGTTGCTCCCCAGTTGTTCCTTGCAAAGGAAGCTCCAGTGTACGAGACAGCCTTCCGGGCATCTTTTATCTGCTTCGCTCTGTGCATCGTCTTCACTATTGCGCTAAGATACTATCTCATATGGGAGAACAAGAGACGCGAACGCATGGCTTTGGCGGAGACGGAGACCGCCGGTTCTAACGACGAGTTCCTTGACATGACGGACAAGCAGCAGAAGCTCATATTCCGCTATGTCATGTGAGCGATTGCGTCGGTTGGGTATGTGGTGACAATGAGCGGAGAGTGTTTGGCGGTACGAGCTACTCAGTGTGCTAGGAGCAGCTGCAACGCATTGTTGCTAGAATGGGACTTTGTTACAGAGAGAACCAATCAGTTTGCTTACTACTGTGATACTGTTTATTCGTGGTTCTGCCTCAGTCTCGTGTCTATGTAAAAATCAGTTTAAGAGTTAATCCACAGCGGGGAGCATCACTAGGAGAATTAGCATAATAGCGAGCTTACCATAAGCCTGTGCCGAAACCACTTTGGTCATTTGCACTAGCCCGTCGACAGTGGATTTATCGAATTGTGCATTTTGCATCCCTGAGGTCTGGATGAACAGCGTTCTCAGCCTTTACTGGCGTCCAGGGTTGCCAGAGTCGCAGGGTATTAGAGTCAAGCTTTTGGCAGATCTTAGCGGAATGAATTAGCGAATCATACCATCCAGACGCGATTGATTTAGCGGCACAAATACCGAGTAGCTTACTCGATTCAGTAACAAGTCAGGCGATGGCCGTGAAATCACCTCGCAAAGTGCAGCTTGCCTAGCGTTGGCCGATACAGTCTCGCTGGATAGCTTGACTGTGATTTATTTGAGTAAGGATGTCTTGAGATAAATGATGCCGGGTGCGTAGTGAGTATATGACCGTTTAAAGGTCCCCTAAACTGCTTCAAGTATTGCATATCGCATAGCTTCATCAAGATGAGAGCGAAGCATTTACCACGTTGGCAATCGAATGGATATGAAAGCAAGCGCAAACTGGGTTTTGAGAGAGGCTCTATACTGAGTTGCATTTTGGCCATTGTTGTAACATATTATGCATCGAGCCACTGGCATTCAACCCGCCAAGCAACTGCCAACAACATCCAACCTATTGCTCCATCGGACTTAGAATATGGGCTTGCTCAGTGTACACTTAACCAGCAACGCCCAGTTATAAACAGAAACCTCGCTACTGAGCGTCTTGCAAGACCTCGCGAGGGCCAGCGGACCATACTTTACAATGTCACGCTCATCAACGGTGATGGCCAAGTCACCCAGGATTGTAATGTGGAGATTCAAGGTGCAATCTTCACAAACATTTCAACAGAACCCTTGAATGTCGCGCAACTGGGTTCCTCGCCAGATGTCATCACAATCAACTTGCACGGCCGCATCGTGACACCAGGACTGGTGGATATTCACTCGCACGCAGGCGTACGCGAGACACCTCAATTATGGGCAACTGAAGACGTGACCGAGATTTCAGCACCTCTTACACCCTGGGGACGAGCTATTGATGCACTCAAGCCCCATGACCAAGCCATACCGGTTATTGGCAGTGGCGGCGTGACAACGTCTTTGGTACTCACTGGTGCAAAGAACCTCATCTCAGGCGAAGGCGTTGTCATCAAGATGAGACAAGCTGACACTGTGCGTGACATTCTAGTCAACGTCACCGAGGGCAGCAGCAAGCCCTTGAGATATCTAAAGATGGCAATGGGCGAGAACCAAAAGCGGCAATTCGAACATTCACTGACCGGTCCATCTACCAGGATTGGTGAGTCGTACTGGTTCAGGAAGGCATATGACAATGCGAGACGCTTGAAACGGGAGCAGGACCAGTGGTGCGAAGCTGCCTCCGCTGCTACTGGAAGAGCCTCTATCTCGGAAGAGTATCCTCGATCTTTGGAGTGGCAGACCTTGGTCGATGTGCTTCGTGGCGATGTCCGCGTCAATGTCCACGGTTATGAGACCGAAGATATCCTGGCAATGTTTGATCATGCGGACGAGTTCGGATTCAATATTACCGCTTTACATCATGCTTTGCACTCGGATCTTGTCACTCAGGAGATTAAGAAAAGAGGCGTGGGTATCGTGGGTTTCTCAGACTCGTGGGGTGACAAAAAGGAGCTTTACAACGTGAGCTCGTACTTGCCCAAGCGGATGGCTGAGCACGGTATTCCTTTCGCTCTGACCCGGGATCATCCCGCTGAACATGGACAATGGCTAGCATATGAGGCCCAGATCGCACATCACTTTGGGCTTGATACCAACCACGCAATTTCTTCCGTCATCGGAGAACCGGCTCGGCTTATGGGACTTGATAACAGGTTCGTTCCGATACCACCAATATTGAAGCGTTGTAGTACAAGAGCTGACTGACCAACAGACTTGGATTCATACAGCCAGGTTATGATGCAGACCTCGTGGTTTGGGACCGACATCCCATGCGCGTTGGCGCCGCACCCCTGGAAGTGTACATTGACGGCAAAAGCGTGGTTCGTGCTTCTGATGACCTGTGGAACAAGTCGCGTGGAGAATTATATAGCAAACAAGCTCCCCCTTCGCGGTCAAGCACACAAATCGAGAACAGCTGCAGAGTCGGCCAGTCTGATGTAATCATTCGAGGGATCAAAAAGAGTTTCGTAGATTGTGATGGACTTCGAGGCGATGAGATTGAGGGAAAGAATCTGACAGCCGTTATACGGTCTGGACGAGTAGTATGTGTTGGGAGTGAGAAGTGTGAAACGGCTGCGAAAACGGCTGTCGCCGCTGGCGTAGCCTTGATAAATGTCAATGACGGATTTCTGGTCCCGGTAAGTTTGGGAATCGTCGCCACTTAGATATTCACCTCGCTAACAAAGATGCAAGGGTCTCACTATAGTGACGCGGCAACATGGTTTAGTCGAGATGCGCCAGGAGCCATCGACCACTGATGGAGCTTCGTCAGGCGACGTATACACTAAGCCGCTTGAAAGCAGATTTGGCATCAAATTCGACGGTGTCCATGTTCAAAGGGCATATCGCAGTGGTATCACTCGTATTGTAACACCTCCGATTACATCCGGATTCTTCCATGGCATCAGTACTAGGTTTCGGGCAGGAGCCACCAGTGGTATATGCACTTACTCTCAAATAAAAGCATGATTGACATGAGACTAATGTGACTTAGTGATCGATGATGGTGCCATTGCCGAGTTTAACGCAGCTATTCACTTTACAATCGGACACGACGGCAAAAGTAAGGTTGAATTGTATATTCACCGGCATAATCAAATTCTAATTGTCTTCCAATAGCGTCCCAAACACCTTCTATTACATCTCAGATAAGCGAATTACGCGATCTCCTTACGACGGAAAAGCATCTTCATCCGGTCTATCAGCGAGCTGCAGAAGGCGGGATTCCAGTCGTCGTTCATACTAACAACAAGGACGTCATTGCCCATATGATTGCACTCAAACGGGAAACTGGCGCACATATTGTTATCATGGGCGGTGCCGAAGCGCATCTTCTCGCAGTCGACCTCGCCACCGCTGAAATGCCTGTCATTGTCGCCCCTTTCTGGGGATGTGAGCCACTATTTTGGGACTCCCGCAACTGCCTCCCGGGCCCACCGCTTACGGATGCATTGGGGCCACAGGTTTTGATTGATGCGGGTGTCACTGTTGGAATTTCCAACTGGGATGACACGAACAACCACATTCGAAACAGTATATGGGAAGCGGCCTGGATATCCGGCCCCGGAAATCAGAGCCTGGCACTCGACTTGGTTTCCAAGAACATCGAGGACATACTAAAACTCTCACGTACAGAAGATATTGTTTTGTATGAAGGAAATCCATTTGAATTCGGTGCTCGAGTGGTTTTGAGTTTCGAAGAGGGCAAGGTGCGAAGCTGTAGTCCAGAGACTGACTAGGGTGTTGTGGCCTTTTCGTACCAATGACAGCAGACGTAGAGTATAAATAGCCTTGAGTTTAGAAAGCAAAACCGACAGTGAAAGTTGTCTGCATTTGTCTCCGTAGCACCTTTGAGCCGACCTTTTCCCAGTTCGCTCCGTGTCTATAATGAACCTGGGATATACTTGGAGCACTAGCAATCTAGCCTTCATGAGTCTGCTAGATTCCGGTTACGGATCTGAGCTACGTTTGATGTTGAAAATCGCAGCCGATTGAACCGAGTCAATTTTGTTGACACACACGTGCCTGAGAACATACTTATATTTCTTAAGTAGCCTGGATAAAGAGGAGAGGGCTGTTCAGTAGAGCAAAGATTTCAATATCATGCCATCGACTTTGAAGAAAGACACTTCATTTTTGTCTTGTTAGTCGCTGTGTTTCACCTTCTCGCTGCTTCCCCCAGTTGGTGGACACCATTTCAACGCAAGGCTAGTAATACACGATGGAGACTTGAAGAGCTCAAAAACTCTGACTCATCCTCCTCTGAAGTGTCCCCATCATCTGTATCATCATAGTCATCCTCGTCTGCATCTATAGAAACGCTCTGGATATAAGATATCCGCTGCTTCAGAGATTCTGTCTCCTCCTGAAGTTGATAACTCTCCACCTTCAGTTTGATATAAGAAAATGCGTGCTTCATCTGCCCAACCATCTCTCGCAGGCTATCAAAGTGCTTGACGGTGTCCTCGTTTTTACTCCTGAGCTGCCATAATTATCTACGGTCAGCATCCTCGACCATGGGGACCTAAGATGCAAATAAGAGTTATAATCTGTAGATGTCGATTATGGAATCAAATTCACAGCTCAGACTCACTTACCTGGGGTAATAGCTTCCGCGGGTGGCATCTTTGCGATTGACGAGGAGGTGCTACTGGCTCGACACTGCTAGTCATTGCTATGCAATCTTCAGAACTAGTCATGCCGCCGAGGATATTATCATGGTCTTCGTTGTCAGATGACTCCATGTTGTCGATTTCATTAGTATCAGCTTCACCATCAGAGTGAATGTTTGAACAGCGGGCTTTCCATCTTGTGAGGCCTAAAATAGATACCAAGAGTAGGATTACTCCAGCGATGACGACCAACATATAGCGGAAGCTCATATTGATCAAGTGACCTCCCTGCGAGCTGACCTTCTTCAACACTTTATGCATTGTAGTTTCCCTTCGGAATTGCTCATGTACAGGAAATACTGTCACGAACGGAGGTGGAGGTAACGGAACCGACAAGACTTGGTTGCATGATCTGGAGTCTATGCCTGTACCCTTCAAAAAGACAATCAGTATGCGAGCACCTATAGTCTGTCGGTACTTACTTCGACATCCCTACATTGTTCAATATAGTCCTTCAAAGTAGTCCATTCAGCCAGCCAGCTCAAGTGCCCTTTTGGACATGTCCTGGCCGCGAAAACCCGGTGCTAGGGAGACAATCGTGACCGCCAGTGTGATCACTCCCACCGCGCAGCCGATCACGCTCATCAGTCGTCTGTATCTCCTCTACTTCGCTTTCTCGGGTCTGCTAGAGACGACCCAGCAGCATTTCTTAACATTCCAGCCCCAGTCGTCGTCGTCGTCGTCGTCGTCGTCGTCCTAGATGATGATATTTTGCAATATCATGCATCTTGCAACATCCATACATCTCGTGGCCATCGTCAAAGAAGAAAAGTGAACAGAGAGACGAAACTATTATTTGCGAGTATTCGTCATCATTGTCCTTGATGGACAAGCCAAACGAAGCCTTACTGCGGGGTACGGAACGGCGCATAGTCTACAGCAAAACAGAAGTACAGAACATAGCTATTTGGCGTAGCACGACATCGCCAGATTTGGATGGTTACCTAGGTAGATTTGCTGTCTTCTGCTGCCTGATCTATATGGACAGTGGAGGTATGACTTTATAGTATATCTCAATGCTTGAGAACACCTGACTGTGTTAGATTGTCTACAGTGAACAGAGACAACGGCACTATGTTTCATTGTATATCTTAATTGTGCATGGGACAGAGTGATCTGGGTCGAATCTGGTTCAATAAAGAGTTTATTTCAAACAAGACACTGTACGAGCGAAGGTGCTGTTGCAAAGGTTTTGTGAACGGAGTTGCTGTGGCTTGAGTGGCTGGTTTGCGTTGGAGATTTGAAATCAGGGGTTGACGCTGCCCGGGGCATTCGGGGACTACTTTGCTGTCATATGGAGAACAGAGCCAATAATCCTGCTTCATTGACTTGTTTCGTTGATTGGTAGTCCCAAAAACTATAAAAACACTCATGTGATGTCAATTAGAAAAGCCGATTGATGGTAGACAACCTAAGGAAGCTTTGATTCATAATAACTGCAAGCTAACAAGACTACTCCTCTACTAGGACAGTAAATGTTAGTGCGGCAAGGATATCATTACCTTCCAACAGGGGATTACCATCTCGAGACAACTTGTTAGACCTGTACTAATAAACAGAACCTTCGAGATCTTAATAAGTATTAAACATTGAGCATATGCATCCTCCAAAAATCAATGTTTATCACCCTGGCTGAGAAGGTTGAAGCCTGTGGAGCACTAGAACTACAATACAGCAAGCTTGTATCTCTAGAAAGTACGATTCCTGAGGCATTCAGTGCCTGGGTGAGTGCCATTTGTGAAGCATGAATGCGCAGTCGTTGTGTGGTGTGAATCGTCCCAAAGAGGAAATGTGGATCCCTCCCTCCTGAGGCATGACAGGCCAGACAGACATTAACAGTTTGCAGCACCTGCAGCAATTAATCAACCAGCATTCAATCAATCAATCAGATCCAGGAATCCCAACTGCGAAGGAAAAAGGCCGCGCAGATCCCAAGATCCCAACAGGCGAACGGTGTGGTTCTTCCCTGCATCGAGTCTCGGCATAACCATGCACGTAACAGCGACCTAGCAAGTTTTCCACTGACGCAGCAGGGTCTTACTTTATTTTGCCCTGTCATGTTTTTGCCTCCGCCCCGTTTTACCTGACGGCGCTTGCTTGTCTGCCGGGTCTTGGTGTCTTGGTGTGTTGGGTATTGGTGTTGAGGCTGGTTTGATGCGCGCTTTGGCTGCCTGGGGGGCGGCGGCGGGCGTGCGCTGTGACGTCAGATGGGTTGGACCCTTTGTTTTTGCCCGCCTTGGCCCCTCACCTCTCCGTCCCTGCCGCCGTTGGACCCCCTTTTTCACTCATCCGTCTGAAGTACGAGTACGTAGCACAGAACTGTCATTTTGTCAGACACAAGATGCACTGTGACACTGCACTAATAGGTCCATAGTATAAGTCCGTCAGTCCGTCAGTCCGTCAGTTGGTGAAGGGCCGTTTGACAAAGTAGGTAGGTGGGTAGGTGGGTAGGTAGGTAGGTCGTCATCCCGCCTCCTTCCCTCGTATGAGCTCCGCTCTCCCCCAACAGCCACCGGTGTCCCGGAGGCGTCATTTGCAATAGCGTGTGTTCGATGGGGGGGTTGACTCGGTCCGGCGCACATGCGTCGTCATACCTTGGTCGTTGGTGCTTCACGCAGGTCGGTAGTGAAGCCTCTCACTCGGAAAGGGGGCAAATCTGAACATTCAGCACAAATCTCGACGTAATGCGATGTGCACGGTCACGAAACATCCGCTTTGCTTCCAGGTGATGTTTGTCTTAATTGTCATTTGAATTGTCCCTGGTAGGTAGAGGTAGAGGTAGTAGTAAGTAATAGCGAACCAATCCACGCCGGTCCCTATCCTATGTACACGTACACGTTGTTTGTCATCAGTAAAACAATGAAACGAAACGAAGCAGAGTGATAAAAAGAAATAGAGTATAGCACGCCGGAAACGCCAGGAGATGCCAGTGAGCTCGCCGGCCCAAGGTCCCGAATGCCTAGGCGTCAAAAAAAGGATTGCAAATGGAGAAGCCGACTCGATAGAGTATATGTGCTCCCCCCAGGTACCGAAATATCATAAACCGCAAAAGGTGTGCTACTGCTGATGACTTTGGTATAATGGAATTTTTTTCAGCCCCTAGAACACATGCCTCCGTACGCCGCCCATGATGATGGATGATGAGATTTGTTGATGAATGAGTCTCCGTGTCCGAAAGGACCCAGGTCGAGCCGAGGCTCGTATGTTCTGTAGTATTTTGTTGCTGTGTGTTTTGTATTGATTTTGTTGAGTGGACTGGGTGAAGCCAATGCGACTCGTCTTGGTATCGTATGGCGTTGCGGTCGTGAGCGAATGCTATTTTTGTTTCATGCCGCACCTTCACACCACCGTGATCCGTGAAAAGTATAATCGAAGGTGGTCCGACGAGATATCTTCTAAAGTTTCGGCCGTCATGCTAGATCCTCCCATGGCACGATGGTCCTCTTTGTTCGACAACAATGCAACTCAATGATGCCGTGAACCATCGTTAGCGAAGTGGAGGAGACCACGGCACAGCGTGTCGCAGTCCTCGTGAGGGCGCCAAATGGCGCCAACCACTGCTCTGACCAAACCACTAATCCCTGATTGTGGATGGTGCCGCGTTTCATTTCTTCCCCCTGCCTGACGTGGCCGTGATCTTGCTCGTGCTCATTAGGTCCCCGATATACTTCTGCAGGAACTTGTTGTTGCTGTCGAGCTTGTCATGCTCCTCCTTAACGGCCTCAATCCGGTTCAGAATAGTCAGGAGGGAGTCCTGAAGTGCTTTCGCGTGTCTTAGATGGAATGTTAGCATGGGATGTGTTCCCACATAATGGCACAATCGCGGCGGGAATGCTCACTTCTTCAGCTCGTCTCTGGCTTCCTTGCCAATCGCCTCGATGTCCTCGCTTGTCCTTCTCGGACTCATAGCGCGCACGTCGCCCGGTTCTATCCTCGTGTCGGCGGGTTCTGAGGCGGCGGCAGAGTCTCGAGGGACGATGATGGTGCCGCTGCTCTTGCGACTAGGTAGCCTAGGACGGCGGGGGACGGGTGCGTGAATCTGGATCTCGTGCTGGTCGTGCGGGTCTTGCTGCTGGTCGATGGAGGATGCGGATGACGAGTCTGAGCGCTCCATATGCGGCATCCTCGAGGGGATCTCTGAGTGGTGGTCGTCACCGTCCATACTGGGTGGGCGCGATGGTGTGGTGTGGTGTGGTGTGGGAATGGGAGAGGGTGGTATTGTTGTGTCGCAGCTGAACACAAACGAAGGCTCGAAGTGAAGTATTATGAGTTCAGGTAGGTTTGTATGATTAGGCAGGTATCGTAAAAGTAATACGTCGAAAGTGCAAGTCGTCAAGTCAGTTCAGTCAGTTTCAGCCAACTCCTCCGTCGCCTTGGCTCGTTCAAGACCCGAGAGTTGCCACCATTCACTGGTCCAGTGCTGTTGATGGTGGCGGCAGAAGGGAAACTGAAGAAGAGAAAGAAACTCGGTCGGCGGCGAGTCGGGCGGATGAACGGTGGGTGGTGGATGTGTGGTGGTTAAAAGAGGCGGTCGTGGGAAAGGAGAGCAAGACGAGCACGAGGAGAGGGAAGGCGTGTATATTTTGGGTGGGTGGTGGCAGGGAGGAGGGATGCGGTAGGTTAGCTAAGGTTGACGGCAGGTAGGGAAAGCCCAGGTAAATGGAAGGTACAACCCACAACACGGTGGGTGTGGGGGGCTGCTAGGTACTGACTGTCGTCTGTACTGGAAGGGAAATGGTCGTCGAGTCGAAATGTTAGGGGACCCACGGCCAGTGGAGGGGCTCCCAACGACTGTCCAAACAGTGGCTCGCACTCGCTGGCGGCTGCCCAGGTAGTTCGCACCAGAGGGGGTCTCAGCGATGTCAATCAGTGGCCGGGGGGGTGGTTCGTCATGTACGTACTCGAGTACTGCGTACTGTAGTGTACTCCTCCAAGTCACTGTGTATTGACCGGGCACTGCCTGTCTGCTGTCTGCAGGGGCAGCACTGACATGACATGAACGGGAAATCGACCCCACCGTACTCTACCGTACTGTACCGCCTCCCTGCTACGGAGTAGTGTACCTACTGTACTGTACTGTACTGTATGAAAGCACCGTATGACGAACGGTAACGGTGAGCTACTCTCGGTCCGGCAGTGTGCTACAGCGCCAGAATACAATACGGCAAGAACAGTGGAGCCGCCGCGACTTCAAAGAGGGAAAGGGCCATGGTGGCTCGGTGGGACTTGCAGATTGGGTCCCTTTCAATGCTGATTGATAGTCCTCGAAGAATCTGGGATATGGCAGATTTGCTGTGGATACTCCGTCAGTCAAGACTCAAAGACCAGCAAAGACTCACTCAGTCAATCAACACAAATCAATCAAAGCAGGCAGGCAGTTGGCGTCCTCGTCTGGGGCAACCGGGGGCTTCAACCAGTCCAGGCTACCTAAACCCGACACTGTCTCTCGAAATATCAAGAAATGCAGGGCGACAATCTGTCTATCAACTTGGTTTGCTTGCCTGTCAAACCGGTCCTGTCCTGCTCTATCCTGACTTTGCCTGTTTCGCAGCTTGTTATGATGAGCGTTATGGTGCCGTGATCGACAGACGACCTGCCTGCTAAATGGCAGTGACATTCTGGCAGACTAGCCGTCTCCGTAGGTCAGGGACACGGCTTGGTGAATCCCCAGAATTGAGAACCAACCCAGTGGCAGTTAGTGGACAGTTTGGCCCGGCTTGACCCCTAGGGTTACCACCAGAGCAGCGGTGGTGGATGACGATCCGAATGGACAGGGCATAGACAACAATTTTGCAATGCTTTTGTTGACGATGATAGGAGAATCGCTCTTGACCATTCAGCCGTCAATGGCACAGATTATCATAGCACAAGGCGGCAGTGAGCGGTCACAAGAGAGCTTTCAGGAATGCTAGCCTGGCCAGTATTGGCAAGGAGTGTCCCGACTACTTGGGCTTCGTCACTACTCATACTCGATGATGGTCAGTGGCTTGACAAACACGGGGCCTGGGACGGTGAGGCGTCCGTCTATAGACAACGATCAGAACGGACCGACAGTAAGATGCTGTAGCAAAAGCTCTGCCGATTTTTCCAGAAGCAACGCAGCAACGGCAGAGCTTCATTTCTCACATTCCTCGCGAACTTGAAACGGTCGGGCAGGTCTCTCTCCAGCCTGGCATCTCCCATCTGGCCCCAAGCTGTTCATGACCTGTCGAGATTGGGCCTAGTGTTGATCGCAATCACTCCAGTGCTTCCAGGCATTCTGCAGTCTAACCACGAAATTTCTACCGAATTACGCTATTCTGTCAATCTACCTTCATACAACAGAGAGACGCCAATAGACGCACGCCGCACGCCAGCCGAGAAGGACAAGCCACAAGCCAAACATCAAATAAGTCTAAATGAGAAAAGACGGCGATGGATGGGCATGTGTTACGCCGTGCCTTGCACAGGTCCTTCGCTCAGACAGTCGCTGAACCGTCTTCCATTGGCCAGCGTCCCGGTTTTGGTGGCCAGGGACGGAAGCTGGGTGGACAGGCGGACAGCGCTGTCTCGCTGTGTGGCAGGAGGCGAGCAGGGTTCTAGCAGGGGGTCACTTGATGATGAAATGCCATCCTGGCCATCCTGGCGCCCCAAATATGAAGGGGGAAGCAAAGCCGTCTCCAGCCTGAAAAGGGCAAAGCTCGGATGGGGATCCCAAGAAGGCCCGCCCTCTAGAAAGAAAGCCTACACGGCCTGCCGACCTCTGCCATGCTTTTTCTCCTCCAGTAAAAGGACAGATGCGCCGTTGCGACCTTATGCCCCCTCAAAGGAGCCCTCCTATCATAGTGAGCGTTTAAGGTGTCGTCTTACTCTCTGTGGCAGATGATGGCGTATATTTCTAGGACCCTGCATGGAAGGAGGTACCGCCCCAATCTGTGCTGCACTGTACACAGTGCTCTCCAAATAGGCTACGGCCCGAGATGACCCTCCCTACCGTCGAATCGCCTTCATTAGGTGATTAGGTGGCCTGCTCCTAAAAATCTCTTTTTCTAGATCTCACCTCCGTATGGGATTGTCTCAGGCGGTTGCCGTTTCTGCGAGTTGTGCCACCCCATGATGTGGTGGCCTCTTCAGCTTTTTCTCCTCTGACCAAAAATACGACTCGGGGCTTTCTGGCAGGAAGTACGCAGCCGCCCCCTCGAATCCAACGGAAGGGACATGACATCATCGGGCGCTTCCGCGCCGCGCCACGTGACGGGAGACGGCAAGGAAGAAATGGGGCTCATGTTCTCACAAATCAGGCTTTTGCTGGTCTACTCATTGTTAGCGAGTTCACTACAATGTAGTGTTGTGGTCACTGCAAATATGACGGAAATAACAACAGAGATGCGGGAAGTAGATACACGCATCCTTCAGCTAACCAACAAACGTCAAAAATTAAAACGGCCGTCGGTGGAACATTCCGTGTGCCCACGAGTAGAGTATGAGTCTACTTTCACGACGGGGCGCGACTTTGCTTGCTTGCTTGCTGCTGCTGCTGCTTGCATATGTATGCTCCAGGTTGAACAGGATTTCAAATCCCAGAGACCTGCTTGACAAGCAACCACTGTCCCCTCCCGTCCGCATCCCATAGGTCGCTTATCTCGAGCAGAAAATCTAAATGCATGCACGCGCTGCCACTGCGGGGAGGCTATCTTGTTGGATGTGGGTGGGCTTCACTCCTGCTGCACGACCCATTCTATTCGCGGTGTAGCGACTCATGATGCTCGAGTCCTATGCACTCCCGACCCTCTCAGGGTCCTGCGTCTCGTCTCGGAATGCCTACGGGATGCAACCCACTGCCGCCCGCCGTTGAAGCGAAGGCTTCTTCACTGCAGCATCCTGTGATAGTCGCTGACTCTAGTGTAGCGAAAGCAAAGATGCTTCTTGAAAACCCACACCCACCTGAACAATATGAAACTCGAACCATCTCACCGTTGTCTGTACTGAAATCACATCCGCTGCCTCCCTCGCTGCCAGGCTTGTGAGGGCTCGTCTTCTTTTGCCTTACGGCCCAGCATCGGTCACATACTGGTAAGTCCCTTCAGCTTTTCCTCCCGGGCTCCATCTGATACACCGGCGACCCACCGGCAAGCCGCCAGCATTATGTCATGATCTGCAGCCCGCCCCGACCTTCACCGTGCCAACTGCATTCCTGCACGTTCCCGGGGCCTCTGAAATCGTTGGTGATCTGTACTGTATACGGGCCCTGGGCATTATGACGATCCCCTCACATCCTCACACTTGCCAGAATTCCCACTCGCACCCCTTGACCGGCCAGATTTGATTCGGATGGTCCTCCCCGCTCATGGCCATTCATTCATTATTATCCCTCAACCCACACCCCTCACCGAGGGGCAATTGGGTTGGGTCAGGGAAAGAGAAAAAAAGGATGAACAAGAAACACAGACCAGGTGCAGGCTGAAATTACGAGACAAGACGCGCATCTTCTGACCGACACATCGTTACCCTCGACGGAAGGTGAGCAGCGCTTGACTGGGCACCAACCTGTCACGAAACTCTGTCACCTTGTCGCAGAGACTGGCCGCTCGTCATCCAAGCAGACTGGCTAGCCATCTGACTGGCGGGACGACTAGGAGGATCAGGTTCCGGTCGCGTTACTGCCTGGTGAAAGCCTCCAATCTGATGCGCTGGCCGTGAGGGCTCCGGAGCCGAGAGAGGCGCAAAAGAAAGGTTGTGGGACAGTTCCATCTGCTCTAGCTCACCGTGGATAGCAATAGCTGGGCAACGATGGGCAGGCAGACAAGAGTGGGCAACGGCGCGAATGAGATATGTCCTCCAAAAAGGCGGTGCTGCTCATATCCACGTACACGTACCGTACAGTAGAGAGAAGTAAGGTAGCTCGGTAGGTAGGGAGAAAGCGGGCGCGTTGCTCCTCCCAGTGAGAGCGACGACGATCCTCAGGCTCCGACGTCCGGAGAATGGGCGAGCGAAGATCACCATTCATGTGTGAGGTGTGTGTCGCGTATCACCGCACCGCTCCTCACTCACGACGATCTTGACAGATGCCACCAACCGAGGGATTCTCTTTCACACCATCTTTCTCTGCTTGTTCTGCGAGTCTCCTCCTCAACCCATACCAGCATCTGCACCTTTACCCGCAATGGCTGACGCCTTTTTCCAGAACCATAGAAGAAGGCACACCTCTCGAAAAGAGCGTCGCAGCCTCAATGAAGTTTAACTTTGTTTCATCTTGCGTGCAAAACGCCAGATCTGGTCGTCCCGGGTTCGATATGTGACGGGCGCTGTCTTTCGAGGAGGGGGACCACACGCCAGTGCGCAGAACAGAGTCATGAAACGGGGTGAGGGGGTACCCAGGAACCATTTACCTACGCCAAGACACCGCCAGAGATCGTCGGTAATGAAAGTACACACGCTTGACAAGGCATAATTTGCACTGTGTCGATCCCTTCTCAAGGGGTCCATCCAAGCCGACTTACCCGGCCAATGCCCTTCCGAGAATCAGTGGCCCACTGCGTAGTCGCGACTCCAGCCTTGATCATCAGGTCGCACAATGACAAGTCTCTCCTCAGCGCTGCTCAGCCGTAGCGCGATTGTCTCTCGTCGTCTGACACCTCCTGTTTTCCTCACCTTGCAAATCAGCCTGTCCGTTTCTGGTTCCCGTTGTTTGCCCGCCGCTGCTGTTGCGTCTTTGTTTTCCCAGCCGCGAATAACGTCAATCTAGCGGTCGAGGACAGGAAACCCGCCTGTCACACTCCTGCACTGCAGGGCCAAGCCACTGACTGGACGGCGCAGGTGAGCTGGGACCAATCGCTGCCGCTGCGCGTCGCCGGAGAATGGCCTCCCTAACTTAGCTTCCTTCCACGTGTCGCCTGTATCATCTCCCGGAGCGTGGCTTGACTTTCGAGCCTCTGCTACACAGATATGAGCGGACGCGACCTCCGGCTATGGGCTGTAAGGTCTCAAACCATTGACCTTTGATAGGTTCGTGGAGTCTAGCAAGGTCCGCCCCCTAAGGGAAGGGCTCGAATGTTTCGATAGGGACGGACCAAAACACAACACACTATCTCTTCATCTGCATCAATAGAAAGAAACTAATAAAAAAAGAACACCTGATTTGCATGCCCTAACGCAACTCTACCCATCTTAAATTTAAGACTATTTCGGCGCGTGCCCTACGATACTACAGATTTGCAGTAGGTGAATAGCAGATGAACAGAACTTTCCTCATCGTTGCCGCTTCGGGCCCGCACGCTTGCACCACACGGACGGAACTCGGCATGGCTGCCACTCTGCACAGGGTCCACCGCCCGACAGGACTAGGAGCCCGTAGTCTGTAGACCTTCTCCAGTAGCCCTACCGAAGAATGTCCAAAGTGCTCCTTAGGCGCGCGTAGCGTAGCAACCAGGCGGGAGAAGGGGGCCACCCATAATCCCATTCATTATACAGTATCATTCCGCTTGACACGGCATCTATGAAAGTGGAATCGGTGTGGATGAGTCTACTGCATGATGGATTTTCAAGCTTCTACAGTAGTGTCCATTCTCCGCTGCTGGTTCTTGATGCAGGGGAAGATTATAATCAGCGTGGTTTCCCTCCACGGCGTGCCCCCTCGTGACGGCCCAATTTTTTTTTTTTTTTTCCCCCTTCCTTCGGCCGCGGACGGCGGGAGTGGAAACTGGACACGCGGATGTTGTCTGGTATCGGGCCGGAATGGCTGGTTGTAGGGCTGAGCCGCAGCCTGCAACGGACAACTGTCGACCTTTATGCGTGTGTGTCAGTTTTCGGTTGTAAACAACTTTCGCATTTGGGCAGATGCGTTGGTCACTCGGTGTTTGCTATCGGGGCCGTGGCTCGCGCAGAGAAAGATGCCTCCCCTAGGCTCAACGACACCTGGCGTTGACTTTAAAGCCTTTGCCGCACTATCCGACCCACTCCCACAGACTCGTTGGACCTTGCAGTGCCTACTCATGTCTCGTTGGTATGTCTCTTTTGCCTATGCATCGACTGCCCTCGGAGGTTTGAAGTTAGCAACTTCTTCAGTCTTGAGGTGTCCTCATTTTACTTCATGCTGGTATTATTCTTACAATATGATATCAATGTTTACGGGAAAAGTTTCTATTAGTAAATGTACATGGACTGTGTCTCTATTTAGAATATTCGAGCCCTGGCAGTATATGCATGACAATCGTCAAGCCTAGAAAAGATAAAAGCGTTCTTAAGTACTGACACAAGAGAAGTGTTGCAAGTTGAAGTTGAAGTCCCTTACTGAAATGAGTGACTGGAGTTGACTATTATGAAGTCCGGGGTTGCTCGTAAGCTGCATTCACTCTGATGGCTTTGCAGCCTTGGCCTTCCTAATATCCTTCCAGCCCAAACCCCATGCAAAGCAAAAGGCACCAGCAGATAGCCCAATGCCCAGGTACATAACATTAACGACGCCGTCAGTATAGGCCTTCAGAACAGCAGGAAGCTGGTCACTTGTGACGACGCTCCTGATGCCCCTCGCGCCGGCTTGCACCACCGCATCGGGATTCACTCCCGCTGCATGTTTCTTAATAGAGCTGGTCAGGCTATTGGTGAAGACTGTCTGGGCGACTTCGAGCCAGAGGGCGCCGCCAAAGTTCTGACAGAAGACGAGAACTCCCATAGCAATGGGAATTTTCTCAGGGGCAACCAGGTTCTGCACGGCTATGAAAGACTGTATGCCTTGTTAGTTGTTTCCGTTGACTTCTTTAATGGATGGCTCTTACGATGGTTACTCCACTTCCACATCCAAGACCGAACAGGATCTGATATCCCACCCACTTCGCAGTTGGTGTTGATGGTGTTAGAAGTGATAGGAGACCATATGCAATTGTTGTCAGAGCGCTGCCCGCTAGAACCCAAGGAAGATAATAACCCAGTGTTTGAACTGCAGACAGGAATTAGTATTATAGTACATGATGGTTCGGTGTCCTTGAGACGTCAGCTTACCCATCACTCCTGAGACCATAGCTAGCAGTACTTGAGACAAAATCGTGGGTAGAATGTCCACACCGCTCATTGTTGGGCTGGCATTTTTGACGGCCTGAAAATATATAGGAAGGTAGTAATTCGAACAGAACAGGGCACCCAAGAAGAAGAACATCGTTACAGAAGCAGACCACAGGATCTTTTGAGAGATCATTGAGAACGGAATCATGGCATCATCTCCTTTACGGTATTCCCAGGACAAGAAAATGACGAAGGTGGCGGCAGCGCCACATAAGAGCCCGATCACCGTAGCACTGTTCCATGCGTATTCATTACCGCCGTATTGAAGAGCCAGCAAGAACATAATCGAGGCAGGGGCGAATATCGTGAAACCGACGAGGTCGAGAGATTCGATGGCTGTGCTAAGCACGGTACGCAAGGCTGGCTTTGTACCCCTTTCAGGGATGTAGATGAACACAAGCAGTGCGCCGACAACAGCACCAATTGGCAGATTGACATAGAAACACCTAACAAAAGTGAGCGATAGATTACTCCAATAGGGTTGATTAATCAGACCATCTCCAAGATGCATACTGAGTGAAGGCACCGCCTATGAGGGGTCCGAAAGCAATGCCCAGTTGTCCAACTGATTTTTATTAGTTGACCATCACAAGATGAATTCTCAACATGCCTGTACTCACTTGCAATCAAAACTCCCATAAGTGCTGTGAAAATTGTCAGCCAAATCCTACGAGCGTCTTAACAGAATCAATGTACCTGGCTGCTTAGGCACTGGTACACAGGCCGCGAAGATAGTAAATGCACCATTCATCAGTCCTGAAGCTCCCATTCCCGCGACTGCTCGCCCAACAATTAACATCGCGGAAGACGTAGCTACTGCACAAAGCAATGAACCGAGTTCAAAAAGAGCAAAGAATGATAGGAAGGACCACTGTTAGTTCCCAATTCAATTGTCAGCTATTGAACGTCATATAAGTTGCACGACAAGCTGTGAGAGTTGCTATACCTTGGTGGTGAAATATGTATATATCTTGCCACTCAGGGGCTGTAAAGATGCACTGATTCGACCGTCAACATTGAGTAGCTTCTCCGTCTCTCAGAATCCAACATCGGGCATTATCGCTTACTTTGCGAGCTGGTAGGCGCTTCCGTACCATCCGACATCGAGAAGGGAGTGAAACTGGGTCGTGATTTTAGGAATCGCCTGTCACGAGTTGTCAGTTAAGTCATAAACCTTATCCAGGTTCGAGCTTGATCTTTGTGGCTCATACCGTTGCTACTATTGAACCATCCAGCATGATGAGAAAATAGACGAGAGTCACAGCTGCCAAGATTAGAACTAGCTTGATTCCCGTCACATATTCGTGCTCGTCTGCTATGTTAGGACTATCTGCTGGAGATGCCTTTTCCGGATCTACGACATTACTCTGCTCAAAAGCTTCTGTTGCTGTACTTGATGTTCCAGGTTTTTTCTTGTCTTTGGTGTCATTTTCTATATCCAATGTTGAAGAAGCGCTACTCCGACTTTTAGTTGCCATGATTCCGGGACTAGAGATTAAAGGTATCGATAAATGAATAGGCAGTAAATCAAAACAATAAAGGACCAACACAGACAAATATGCATTCTTCTTAAAGGACCGTTTCATCGGGGCTGATGAGTCCGTAGGCCGCTGTTACTAGAGTCCTAGCCTCATCGGTAAGTCCTACAGCAGTGAATCTACACGCGTAATGAACGGCATCGGACACCGAAAACCGGTCCGGGCTGGGGTTAGGGATAAAAACACTCAATTGATTTGCTGATCTTACTAGAGTACATATTTGCCATGCAGGCCCACCACAGTCACTGCCATGGACAGAGATAATCGATTTGTGTTAGGCATATTGTTATTGCTCGTGTGTAGGAACCATTACTCTTGTAGCGTCTTTTATTCAGCTTGGGTATCCTGATGAAGTCTAATTCTGAAAACCAGAGAAGGAGAAAATGTCTCGTAGCCAGACAGAATCTGGATAGTCGAAAAGCGTTGGGTCCTGTAGGATTTGGAAGTCATCAACCGAGGGCGAAACGCGAGGATCGGCGCCCACGCCAGTGTAGCATCCCGTTTGAATACATCTCAAGAACTTCGCAGCCCGTACGATCATATCTTCATCAGCACTCTCGCCAATTTGGCTGCTAAGCCACTCCATATTGGTTGTGATTTGTTCCATCACACCAACAAGATCAATAGTATCCCGGACTATCTGCCTGTCCCAGGCCGGATCCTCCCAAGTCGAAAGCTTATATAGAACGACAATACATCGCATGAGCTGCACCCAAAACGTGAATGAAAGGCGAGCGTACTCTATGGGCGGAAATTTTAGAAAAATGTCCATCCAAGACTTCACGGCACCCAGGCACGCACAAAGACTCTCCAGGCGTTGGAAACCAGGATTGTCAAACGTTAAAGTGGCTTTGGACAAAGCCATTTCATGGATGCTGAGATCGGCATAATGCACACATGCCATAACAATATCTGGTATGCTATGAGCAACAGACTACAAGGTGGCGATGCTCTTGAACTTACCATTCTGTTGAATTTCGGTTGATAGTCCAGATTTGAGCTGCTGTAATTGTGATTGAACGGATTTCAAAAAGAATGCCGGAGGAATCATCGGCGAGTCGTTATTTTCGCTGTCTATGCCACCTGCAGACCAGCCCATCTGATTTGCTCTATGTAATAGCAATTGAATCCTTACTTGAAGTACAAGGACTACATCTGCGGGGCAGTCGTGGGTTTCGCTGAGAATATGAAGGCATTCTTCCATGTGCGGAGTCCATCGCATTGGATCTATCTGTGAGAAATAGGACGATACCCTGATAATCATCATTAGTTGCATATTAGTATATGAGATACACCGAGGTTGACTGGTACGCACATTGAGCTTAGAACAAAGCATGCTAAAACACTGCGTCGATGTTCTAAAGTTCGGCCCGTTTCCGCACGCCTCTTCTCGGATATCTCATGAGAACTGGACGCGAGCTTTGGAAGCATGTGAGCTTCGTTGTTGATCGGCTTGTTGAGACTGAGATCATAGACGACCGACATGGCAAATTGGGTCAATCTGGACAAATTCATCGTCTTGTTTAGAAATTGGTCATGGCTCCTAATAAGCGATTAATGTAAACATCACGCAAATAACTTGTAGAATATAGTACTAGCGGCTTACCATGATGAAAACACAAGAAGCCCCAGAAGGAGGTCAATACTGGCTTCATTTTCTATTACTAATCGTATCGCTAGCTCTTTTTTGATATTTCTTGACGCAACTATTCTCTGTTGAGTCGACGGTGTTGCGACGGCGGCAATGCATCGGAAGAGGAATGGGCGGTTGCTATAGAGCTGCTGGGCAGATACATCCGGTAACAGAGAAAAGAAAGGGAAATATTTCATCATTTGGTCGCGAAAGATGATAAGACGCTCTTCAGCCTCTTCATCAGACAAACCTAGAGTGTTGTTGAATGAAGTAGCTTGACTTTCCACCCTGAAATCGTCGCTCACCGACGCATTGGGGGTTATAGCAGAGCCGGGAGTGACCGCATGCAGTACTGTACCTTTTGAATTTGAAGAGATAGGGGTCAGGATAGTGTTTGTTCCCTGAGAAACTTGAGTAGCGGCGAATGCATCGTTGAGGGCAGTGCTTAAGGGTGCTGTCGATGCGGCTGACTGCGCCACTGACTGTAGTAAAGAAACAAGGCCATCCAATTTCTGTTCTAAGTGGGCAGTTCGCGCGGCACTGTCTTTGGAAGTACGCTTTCGGATTGATTCAGAGGGAATGCACTGCTTCTTGAGTCGAAAACACCTGGTAATGACGATTAGCTTGTTGTAATGAGTACTGTTATTCATGTGAGATTCGACTACCTCTGACAGCCGTCACCATCGGTCCGGCTGATGCACTTGCATTTGGATTTGAAACAGTTGATGCAGGCTCGGCCATACGGCGCTGCTGTCGCTTCCATAGCCAGTGAGCCAAGCAGACCTAGCAAGGAGAGATGTGTAGTAGACGGACTTCGGGACGGCACTGCAAATGCTGGGACTTTTCGGCCGATACAGTCTTATGTCCCGTATAACTCACGCTGCGGAAACTCGGTGTGAATGCCCGTAAATAATTCTGTCACGATTAGCTTTCAAGTATGGTATGAGAAGGAAGGGAAATGGTGGAAAGGGTCTTGACCGGACTTCGGTGTCCGCCTCACCGAATGATAGCTGACCCACTGAGTTGGCCGCGTCGGATTTCGGGCTCAATATCCGATCCGGAAGACGCGGGTTAGGGTTACCTCACATGCAATGCGTCCTTTTGCGCCCTGTTGGGCCGCTACATTGAATAGGTTCCTTCTAAACCTGGGTTATACCTAGCACTGAGGTATGCGGGATGGCCTTATCAAATTTCAGTACAGTATCCCGTCTTCTAAGAATAAGTTCTGAGCTAGAGGCATGATCCCTTTATCGGCACGTCTCAATAACTCGTCTAGCTGTGTGAACGATCCATCAAGGACATCTTCAAAAATAGCTTTGCTAGTTTTATACCATATAAGATTGACTAGCAATGAATTCCATAAGGGCAATCTTTCTTTTCGATATTATAGCTAGAACGATGATATCATGACAATTCCGAGCGCTCATACAGCCTTCTGACTCATTCCACTTATTTCAAGTAACAACCCTCCGTCGAATTTCCTTAGGACCAAGTAACAGGCATATTTCCTGGCAACTCCGTCAACCATCCATCAATATTCTCATTCACTGTAACTTTCGCTTTGCATTGATTGCCCGTTTGTATTGACTGAGTCTTCAGCTGCGGGCAATTTATATTACAATTCGAGTCCATTGCTTTCTGGAGAGCGTCACCTTTCCAGCCAAAGACATAATCGCCATGGGCTCCGTACCCGGTTGGATCGCCGTAACTCCATACAAAAGGCTGCGTTCCGTCCGTAGGCCAGAGGCTCTTGTCATTGAATTGCCGAGTGTCCCAGATGACTTCATAGAAGACTTGGGGAATTTTTACTGGATGAGTCGACGGGCAGGGGCCACCGCTCTCAAATGTTCCGCTCGAAGGATAGGAAACATGGCTAGAGTGATCAGGACTGTCTAGATTGACGCCGTCCCAGCAGGTAGGGAAGCGAACATTTGACATAATACCAGCCGGGCACGGCTGCTTGGGCATGTTCATCGTCTCACCGGTTCTTGTGCCTGCATTCTGCAAGCAAGTATAGGTAAGTTGCCGATATTTTGATGCTTGCTGCGCGTTGCGGTACATCGGGTTGCCCACAATCATTCGAAACCCGGGCTTGAATGCTGTGACTTTGTTCTGCTGATATGTCGGCGTGTAGTACACAGTCATACCTCCTTGGGCAGCTTCGAAGCCAATATTTGGCATTTGAGGAACGCGTTTGAAGGTGCCATTCTGAGCACGGAAGTACAAAACAGCGGTCCAGTAGTTGGAAAAGTCTTCAGCAAATGTGCAAGTAGTACATGAAGCTGTGCTCGGAATATCTTGGATCATAGAGACGTTGAAAGCATTTCCTCCGACAATTTGATGAACATGAGTGGATGGGACTTGGCCCGGAAACACGAGGCTATAGAGGGTTAGATAACTGCACAAGAAAACAATGGAGCGTTTTGTAACTTACGGATCAAGGCGCTCAGTCACCAGTTGGGAACAAGAGAACCGAAGCAACGCCTGGGCGTGAGCCGCAAGTAGTGCGACTGCCGTAGCGAGCGAAGCAAAATGCATTGTTGCAACCTCGGTACTCGGCACGAAGCGGATCGACAGAAATCTTTATGAGGCTTGGGAAATTCGTGTTCGATTAACGACCGGGAGATAGGTGTGCTTTATCTATTCACAATCTTGGCTTTATCAGAGACCAGTACCATCAATCCTGAAGTGAGTGGCAATGGGTTCCATCACAGCTCAACTTTTCTTATCCAGCTGTGACAGATTGTGCACAATTCTGTGGTGATGTTATCAATACTAACGCGTACCACGGCGTTTGGTCCAGCGTGTAGTATTGTCGGGTCTATCGTGATGGTAGGACCTATGAGAGGTATCGAGAGCAAGTGTTATATTAACCGGAGTGGTTTCGAGTTCTGGTTGACTGGGGTGGTACGTTCTGGCTGAATTGACAGCGCCGATCTCGAAAGTCCTGCAGGGGTTTACTCCGCATCTGCTGTCACATTAGGGGGCGCTTTGCCGAACTAAGCTGAACTGCCGGGTTCCAAACCTGGAAATTAATATAAAATTTCACTGACCTTGTCTTGGCTGTGACAAACAAAGGTAGATGATAATTAAAAAGCTTGCTTGCCACAGCGAGACGGAATCTGGGGCCCCAGCTTTGTTCCTCGGCTAAGTAGCCAAGACTCCGTATCGAGACGAACATTTGATAGCATATTGTCATGAGGAGTGGCAGCTAGCTGGCAGCAAAGACATTTTATAGAGCCTTTCCTCTTATAGCAT